AATAACCCAAAAAAGATAAGAGCAAGGCCTAACATTAATAACAAAAAAAAAAAAAAAATAATTAGAAATAAATAATGCTTTTATTTGAACAAAAATGGATCTTGCCAAAAGAATAGGAATCAAAATTTAGTTTAGTTTTTAATAACGAATTTTTCGTCTTCGACAAGAATCAAAAAATAATTAGAAATGAATAAATGTCTTTGTTTAAATGAAAATGGATCTTGCAAAAAATAGGATCGAAATTTAGTTTAATTTTTAAAACCTAATTTTTCTTCAAGAAATGAAAAATAGTTAGAAATGAATAATGCCTTCGTTTGAACGAAAATGAATCTTGCCAAAGAATAGGAATTGAAGTTTTATACAATTTTTCAAAAATGAGTTTTCATCAAAAAATACTTAGAAATGAATAAGTGCGACAAGTATGCATGTTGCTGTATTGTAATATATTAGTCACCTGATCTTATTACAGCTGTTTTCATAAATTCTGAGACATCTAAAAATTTTCTCGTTTCCTGGAATCTTTTCAGTTTCATCCAGTAAATTACCTAGCTCTTTGGAAACTATATTGCTATTTTTGAACCTTCAGTCTGAAGACTGTAATGTAGTTTCTGGAGAGTTAGATAATTTACTAGACGTAACCCTAAAGATTCCGGAAACGAGAAAATTTTTAGGTGTTCCAGAATTTATGAAAACAACGTAAATCATGAATCTTATTATTCCTGAAATCAATAACTTATCGAATTCAGCTGAAATTATCATCAGCAATTTTTTTTAGGTGTCTCAGAATTTATGAAAACAGTTGTAAGTTCTGAAAACAATGACGTGATTCTGAAGAGTTAGGTGACCTTTAGGACGAAACTGAAGAGATTTTTGGAAACTAGAAAATTTTTAGGTGTTCTAGAATTTATGAAAATAGCTACAATTAAAACTAAATAATTTTATTCAATAAATTTTTTTTATATATAGCAGGCTCTATACTGTATGACGAACCTCTCTATAATGAACATGTTTTTTTCAACATGTCAGTTCGTTATAGAAAGAGTTGGCTATAATGAATTTGTAATAATAAAAGTAACGTTAAAGATGATTTAAAGAACTAAGAAAACTTTTCCTTATGAAAATACAAACAAGTTATTTAAAGAACTTTTAACAAATAAATAAATCTCCTAGAATACATCTTGTTTTTTATAATATAACTTTATGTTTTGTTGCATAATTATTGATTTAATCAATCAAGTAAAAATCTGACTACTACTGATCGGCTAATATCCTTTAAATTTGGTACAAACAAAATTAGCCCAGATGGTAATATTGACAGAATCGACTTGAATAATTATTATTGCTCATCATGGAAGTCGTTCCTTCCACCTGGAATGAACAACTTCTGTGGCCAACAATACATATGTGCCTGAAACTTGTAGTACAGTATGGGATAGGTCACCAAAACAAGCCGTTGTGGGTCACGTGAGCAGACTTTTCTGAGTATAGGATCTCTTTTTCTCTTTTTTCTTTCTTTTTTTTTTTTTTCGGGAGGGGTGGGGTGGGGTCGCTAGACACAAAGTCGAGCAGAAAAATTCAAGAACAAAAGGGACAGATCAGATCATCGAGTTACTCAAATATCCCTATTTCGTCATGGATCTGGCCTGTGACCCTAGTCACATGGGAGATCCAGTGACTCGCAATAATGTACCGCCTTGTGACTTCGTTCACAAGCGGGTCATATTAACGACCGAACAGCACGGACAATAAACTAATAAGAAGTGCATACATCGTTTTCTAAATACTTTGATTAACAAATTATTATACTTTCCAGTTAAATTAATTTAAATAATTGACTTAATGAGAAATGTCAGATAATTTATAATCTTACCGAGATGGAATAACTTAAAGAGCAACAGAAATTTTTTAGACTATACATACAGACTAATTTAATATAAATATAAAGAAATAGCTTATTTTAAATGCACACACTATTGTGATCATCAATGACCAAACTAATGAAATGAATCAAATTAAAGTGAATAATACTATTTATTCCCCGGTTCTTATTTATACATCTATACTATTCCTTCTCGGTTATTGTCCAGATTTCGGATTCGGACAGATCCGGAATTTTTATAATTAATTTTGATAATATATCTTTTTTTACTTTTTTTTTGAAATTTTTAAACTATTAGAGTTACAAAATGTAAAATTTGCTGGCTAAAAAAAAAAACCAAACAAACCGAAAAAAAAAAGAAAAAAAAAACGAAAAAGGTTTTGTGACCTGTAGTAAGCTAAACTTAATGATTATCCACGAAGTGGACAATAACATATACATATTTTTTGTAACAACGGGAATAAGAGGTAAATTCCCGCTTATATGAAAGGTATTCAGTAAAGTAGTACTGTAGTACTGTACGGCAGTATAGATTCAGACGGACGTACATACCAAATTTTGATCGTACGTAAGATATTAGACATCACTTTCAAATTTCCGTCAATTAATAATTGACATACGTGAATTTAAATTTTATACCAATTAAAATGTAACTACATACATCAAATCTAAAGTATGTTTAATAAAAATGATTTTAATTTAAAAGAATTTTTTTAAAAAATTTTTATTGATTTTTTATTATTTTCTTTGCAAAATGGTTTCAATGCTTTATTAGGCGTTCATTTTTTTCGTTTCAAACCTTTGAAAAATTGTTGACAGCTATGTGAATGGTCGAATGGCCGAAAAGAAAAATGAAAGTATAATTGGTTATTCAAAATGTGATCGTTGTTTGGCTGTTTTATAACTCATATAAGCACAAAAACCAAGCTTTATTGGGCTCTTAATACCTTTAAATTAATTAATATCGAAGAGTTGAATATTCGTTGGATAAACATAACTGTGGTTATCCTATTGAAGATTTTATGAAACACGGTACCTCACAAAACTCAACCAATAAGAACTCTTCGAAATATCACGAAACATTAAATAAGTAATTGGTTAAAATACAAAAAATAATGGAAATCACTGTGACATTAAATAAAAAATCCTTCTTGTAAAAACAATACTTTTTGTACTTACCAATGTAATTACTTTATTTTACAATTTTAACGTTGCGTACGTCAATTATTAAATTTTTATAAGTAACCCTTTTGATAGTTTGGATCACGGCTAATAAAAAAAAGTAACTTTAATTTGAAATTTTTTCTTTTACAAACTGTACGTACTATCATGATTTCTATACGTCCGTCCTAATTTGTGTACTACTTTACTATATGAATCTCGAAGGATCCTCATATGACCAAAATCTACCGTACAAAATAAAATAGTGATATTATCTCTGCCATCAGAAAAATACTATATGCACATTATTAGGTAATCGCTCATTGCCGAAATCAAAGCTTATTGAATCGGACAAAAAACGGTCAATTTTATAAATTATTTCATTTGCATTAATTTAGTTAGTGAGTATAAATGCCATTTATTAATGAAAAAAAAGACAGCAAAACAAGTTCACAAAACAAGAGCTACTTTACCATTACAAATAATTTCATTCGAATTAATTTATTTAGTGCCATGATTAGTTAAAATCCTGAAAAACCGGTCAACGTTAAACTTTGTCGGGATTCTTATTGTCAGGGTTTTGACCTAAAACCATTTAAAACATACTATTTGTAATTTAGCTGCCGGCAAAATGATTGTCAGTAGTCGGGTAAATAAATACCCTAAATCACCTGTTTCATGTTTTCGGAATAATTAATTTGATCTTCTTTCTCGTTGCCAAATATGGTAAATTTGATTTTAGTTGCCATGATTGTTGGAAGATATAAAAATACGGTAGTAACCAACTCACTCTCATAAATCATACACACCTCATCAATAGCAAATAAATAAAACAAGAACACTCTTTTATTTTATCATCAAAAAACTTATAGTACACTCAAACAAAAGTCTTTAATAGTAAACCAAAAAATGTCCAAATTCCAAACCAAAAAGATTCTCTTGTTTATGCTTTTTGGGATGCTCTTTCTCGTTCTCGCCAGTGCAGTCAGCATCAATCCTAAGAGAAGAGACTTCACAAGTAGTCAACAAGGAGATCCATGTGACAGTGATTTCCAATGTGTTACTAAAATTTGTCGTATAGAAGGTCTAGATACAAAAAAATGTCAACTAACTGATCAACGAAAAAATGGAGAAGCTTGTCATGACGATAATGCATGTGTGAGCAAGAATTGTGCTTTTGTAGGCACTTGCCAAGATCCACCGGCTACTCCTACTGCCACTCCTACCGCCACTCCTACTGCCACTCCTACTACTACTAATAATCTTAAGGCAAATCCTAATGCTAATTCTGATGCTACTAGTAGTTCTAAGGTTGATCCTACTGCTACTCCTACGGGAAAACAATAGCAATTTCCAAGATTATTCATTCCAGCAGCATTTTCTATTTCTACGCTCTTATGATAATACATAAATACTTATTGCGTCCTTTTTAACAGCCATTTCATTTTTATAACAATTACCAATTTGGAGCATTGAATAAAAAATCTTTATTACATGTTCATAGATTTACACATGCATTTTATATCATGAGAATAAGTTTATTTATAATAGAATCAACCTTTGTTCACGAAATAATATCTTTTGGTTTTTTAATTAAATTTCATAATAAAGTTCTATTAATCTTTGGTGGTTAAATAAAATTTGTGATTATAACAGAATCCCTATGAAAATTTTTTTAAAACTGATTTTTTGTTAGACACTCACAAGTAAAAAAAATTAGATCAGAAAATTATCATAGAAATATCAGGTTCCGATTTCTATTGCCCATCGTGACAGCAACAGAGACATATTAGGTGCTGATAGAGCTATCAGAAAGCTATCAGAACTGATATGTGTAGTGATGTGCCATTTATATGATACCTTAAAATTTTTAGCGTACAGTACGTACTGTACGAGGACCCGGATAATTCTAAGGTAGGTGGTATGGCAAAAGAGGGTGGATTTTTTTGGCCAAATTCTGGTCAAAATCAATTTTTAATTTTAATTTTGACCAGAATCTAGACAAATTTGGCCCAAAATCTACCCTCTTTTGCCCTACCACCTACCTTAGAATTATTCGGGGTCCTACTGTACGTATAGTTCTTTTCTGGCATCTGATTGGCTAGAACAAGTGATCGGCAAAAATTTTAGCGTACGCGGCACATCACTAGATATGTGTCTGATAGCTTAATGATAGCTATATCAGCACCTAACATGTCTCTGTTGTTGTCACGATGGGCGCCAAAAATTAACAGAAATCGGAACCTCTGATCTACTTTTTTTCGACCAGTGACTGATAGCATATGGAGAGGTCAATAGAGACCAAGTAAATTGTTTTTAAGTAACCCTTTTTTAAAAAATTTAAATTAAAATATCTCAACAACTATTAAACTAAACATGATAAAACCTTTTTATTTTAATTCAATATAATTAGGGCATGGGATGGGTTGGGTTGGGTATACCCGAAATTTTACAGATCGGGATCAAATTTTAGACCTACTATAAATCGCGCCAGGTTCGGGTCGGTCTTATTAAAGTATCTGGTCGGGCCTGGGCTCTGTAAATTGATCTGTAAAGCCTAATAAACTTACAGTATAATACAGTAACTTGTTGTTTGAGTCAAATTTAAAATATATAATGACTTTGTGCAAATAGTTCTTATTAAAAGTTCCTTCATGGTACACACAGGTTAAAGAAACTAATATAAGGTAACTATCAGGTATCCCAATATTTGCTAATTATATCCTGATAATAAACAAATATTTATCTCTTGAAGGTCCGATATGCTTCAGAATTTTGGCGCAGAATGATAGGTATCGGGTTGATTTCGGGTCAATAAATATATAATAAATATTTTGCATATATAAGCACAATCAATTGATACTCGGTATGCTTCTTATTAATGTTAAATATATTTAAAATTTTTAAATTAATAAGGTTCATATCGGGTATAATTTAAATTAATTTCATAAACCTGATATGCACTAGATTTTAGCATTAAAAAAAAAACCATCGAATTTATATTAGCTAACTAGAACATGATCATGCGAGTGGCTTCGTCGCCTGTTTTAATAATTATGCATGCAAAAGCAAAGTTGTATTGTTGACAATAATTTGGATACTTCTGATAAATTAATATTTCTAAATTAATTCGAATGAAATGAGAAACGTTACTTGATAGTAAAAAGATTCACGAACTTGAATAATCTATTCAAATACCTCAGTTTATAAATATTATTTTCACTTATATACACTAAATTAACATCTCTCTACTACTCACATAGTAAAATTAAATAATGTGAGTTCAAATATCTTGAAATCTAAATGCCTTATCTATTTAATTAGTGTAAATAAAACAAAGTTAATGAAGTTGTACAAGAATACATATTCACGAATTTAACGAATTAGAATCTTCGTAAATTAATTTGGATGATATGAATATTGAATCAGGTGAATAAAACTAATGTGAATAATGGATCTCTAGATAATAAATAATGAATCTGTTTCGACCGTAAACAGCTGACTCAAGTACGCGGTGTGACAAATAATGTAGATCAATTTTTTAAAATACTATTTATGTGTGCACGTGATATATAATATACGTGAAATTTAATTTTTCACTATTTAAGAAATTGCATCACACCGGGTACTTAAGCCAGCAGTTTACGGTAGTTACTGATAATTAATTCACAGAGAAGGTTTATTTTACAGACGATTAATTCACAGACTAGTTCATTACATAGATTCACCAACAGCTTATTTCATAGGTTTTTTTTTTTAACTAACCTTAAGTGGTATACCGTTTATTCCAACGATGCATCATAAATATCAATTTATTTGTACGTACATCAGATACATGCATACAAATAAAATTAATTTCCGGATCATGAGTAGCTGCGTGACATTGTCGCACTAAACCAGGAACGGGTGAATATAAGCTTAATTTAGAAAATGTTGAACAGAATAGTTGTATATAGTTTTGAATTCAGATAACTAAATATTGAGTATATAACTAAATTTAGCATAACAATATTGATATGAAACACTATAATTTAAACAAAAATTAGATTTTTAGATATATATGATATAAAGTGTAAAATACCTCTTTAAAAAACATATTATACTAATTTTCTAATGCTAACCGGAATAGATATTAAAAATAAGGTTATTTCACACCAATATCATAAAGATCTGGCTGCATAATTAGAAATGTTCTTGGCAGATGATAATTATACGACTAATGTGGATAAGAAGCTAAATGAGAGATAAACAGCTCATAAATCAATTAAACCAATAAATAATCGCTAAACTTAGAGACGCTCTTAATGTGATTAGTTAGCTACTGATATCGTACATAAAGTACTACGATTAATTGAAGCGACCCTTACTGTAATTTTGCTAAAGATTCATATCGCAAAATGAAGATAATAAATTTTAACTAATCAGAACAAGTCTACAAACTTTTTTTTTTTTCATCGAGATAATGAACCTACTTACTGGTTAGACTACTTTTCATAATTTAGAAATTGAGCTTCGACCTATTAATTATGTGCTTGAGAGAATTTTAAATCGATACGAATAAATATATTGATTGATAATGTTCAATTGATTAAAAAAGAAAAAATATCATGTGAAAACCTGACATTATATGACAAAGAGTTTTGCGGACCAATTTCAGCCTATTAAATATTTTAGAGCTGTTAATGCTTGTATGGCTTTTTTACATACTATAGTGCTTTAAAATGATTATCACTATAGCTATGTAATAATATTTTTATATGATACTACTCAGTCATGTATCGGATACAATATTATCTACCACAGCTTGAGCCATGGTTCAAAGTCAATGTCTAGCCATAACACAAGTTATAGCTTCAATAACTATGGCTTAAACTGTAGCTATGACTTTACCGATTCAAAACAGGCTTCGGATAAGCCGTTAACGGCTCTGAAGACTATCTGAAGACATTTTTTACAGGAGGATCCCTAAATTTTCGGGTCGGAATGCCAGAATGCATCGTGGTTAGGGTTAGTGTTAGCTATACTAGTTAACAGGAGCTAAAGTAAAATTATCAGCTGAGTATTTTTTACTTAATGAACCTCATTAGTAAATTCTTGTGTTCTTGGGCAAAATCGATCAATTCTGGCCCATTCGACCAGGGTTCCGATGCATTCCCGACCCGGAATTTTGGGATCTCCCTGTATGAGTTATCGATATCGATATCTGAAGACAAATCCATATTTGGTTAGTTCATTACGAAGGGCAATAATAAAAAAAAAGCACATTTTTATAAATCACTTTAATTGAGACAAAAACCTGGTAAAGCAATGAAAAATACAAGTTTGAACGTTCATTATGGTTAAACAAATCTCTTACTATAAATTAATATAGTGCTGTGATGCAATATCGTGAAGTTTAAGTGCAGAATTTCATATTTTATTGTCCAATCAATTATGATATTTTGCGGACATACATCACTAAAAATGTCTATAAACCATACACTTTGTGATATTATATATCACTCCGTAAACAGTCTATATACCGATACCACATCACAATCAAATATGTAAGGATGAGAAAACCAAAATTATAATCTACGAAAAATATTGCACGCACGTGATATCCCACAAGAAAAACGGGGTTCCCTATGTCAAGCAGATCATTTCCGATCTAAAATTTGGAATTTCTTTAAACTTCTGGCGAAGATTTCTCAATAACTATTCGATCAAATTTTTTATTTGATTCTATATATTTGTAAAATTAAATAAAAAAAATTCATTGAATTTGGTTTAGTGGTTATCGAGAAACCTTTGTCAGAAGTTTTGAAAAAAACTTGAAATATCGGGAAAAAATCTAAAATCGGCAAATTTTTTCTTTTTGAAAATTTAAACGGCGATTTCTCAACAAACATCTAACCAAATTCAATGAATTTTTTTATTATGATTCTGCATGTTAGTATAATTAAAATAAAAAAAAATTTATCAAATTTGAATAGATGGATGCTGAGAAATATCGATTAAAAATTAAAAAAAATTTGGCCGCGGCTTTTTTTTACGGATATCTAAACTTTGAACGAAGATTACTCGGCACTTACCTAACTAAATTCGACTAAAATTTTTTTTATTTTAATTCTATATCATAGAACTTAAATAAAAAATTGATTGAATTTGCCTAGGTAAGTCCCGAGTAATCTTGTTCAAAATTTGGGTATCCGCAGTGGTCAAATTTCTTTTTAATATTTTTCTTTTTAATATTTCTCAGCTTATTCAAATATATTAAAAGATTTTTTATTTTAATCCTACGAATTCGCAGAATTAGAATAAAGAAATTTTCATCGAATTTGGATGGAAGGTTGTTGAGCAATCATCGATTAAAGTTTAAATAAAAATTTTATTGCGATATTCTTTTTTTAATTTTTTACAAAAATTTAGACGATGATTGCTCGACAACCACCCATCCAAATTTATTGTAATTATTTTTACTTTGATTCTATGAGTTTTAAGGATTAAAATAAAAAAAATTGATTGAATTGAATAGTCGGATGTTGAGAAATATCGATTAAAAGTTAAAGAAAATTCTGGCCGCAGCTTTGATA